TCTGGCTCATTTCCCAAATCCACCTGACTAGCGCGCTCTTCATCAGGATTTGCCGGAGTTTGGGACTCTGCCAACAAGGGCCGACCACGCACGTCAACAGGAACTGTGTAAACCGCAGTCAATAGATAACGCCTACGATGACTGAGTTCGTCCTGCGACTTTTTGTACGGACCTGGACAATCAAGCGACAATACAAAGGCCTGTGGTGCGCGGACTCGTCTATGTTGCCTTTGGGTAGCGGTCCCGATCACACAATCTCTGCATGTCCTTAACGGTGGCCAATGTCCATTCTTTACATGTGCTTCAAAACTAATCTTGGAAAGTTTGAGTTTGGGGCTCCCCGACACAACGGCCTCAAGCTGAGCACACACAATGCGCAATGCACCTGGCGCCCATGCCGCCCATCGAGCAGACTCCCCAACAGCGGATTGGTTTGGATCACCCACTCCCTCACCCTGCCAACCCGGACCCCTCACACTCATGGCGCTCATCGGCTGCGTGGACGCCCACGTAGTTGGCTTCCTTTTAGGGTGGCCAAGCGGCCCTTGATCCCCATGAATTTGCTTTAACCCCAGCAATCGCTCAACTGCTAGGTAACTCGGAGTGGCCCACATTGAAGGGTATCCATCTGGGGCCTCATGCACCATGACCTCAGGGCTCAGGTACGACTGAGGGTCCTGGGGATTTTCAAACAACACCCAACATCGACTCCTGAACGTGTAGGTACCGGCATCCCCTGCCGAGGTGCTTCCCACGCGTTTTATGCACTCATCAGCTGTCCCGTCTATCCAGGTAACTGCTCGTGATGCCAACAATGCCAACATGTACATGCGATGCAAAAGGACATCAGACTCATACACCTGCGACTGCTGAGAGGGAGTCAAACCGGGCAAACCATGCACATGGGGGCCATCGCGAGCTCGAAGTGGGGGTGGACCTCCCTCCCGAAACCGACACCTCGAGAATGGACCACAGGGCGGACCCCCGAGCACCGCATCGACTTTCCCCGAACAAACTAACTCCAGGAGGTACCTATACGTGAGCGGGTTCATCAGGTCTTCTTTTAGGTCGACCGACACACAAACACCTCCTGCAGCTGTCACGGCATCCTCAATCTGCCGCCGGCTCTCTCCAGCAAACAAGTTAAGAACGACCTTCCCAGCCTTTTTAAGTTTTCGCCTAAACCTACGGTTCCAGACTAAGGTCTCATGTGACTGCTCTGGCCACGCTGCGACTGCGGACTTCACATCATTTGGGATTTGGGGCCACATGCGTCCTGCAGCAACATGCAAAGCCGAACCAACGTCCCCATCAACCCGCACTTCATGAATCAACTTGTCTAAAAGCTCAATTTCAGTGTTGTGCGCTGTGCGGATTTCGAGTGTTCGTGCACACAGGTCATTGGCAAAGCTCCACATGCGATGTTGCTCAATTTCGGCGATCAACTTGTATGCCTCAGTTTCTGAAACTCTGGGGCATCCGGAGGTAGTGAAAATGTCAATCTTTCCGCGTTGTGGGTGTGCCAGCACACACCTTCGACCTGACCAGTCTAGCCGACATCCAAGCTCGATAAGCTGTCCTAGGGAAACAATCGGCTCAGCCTCTTGGTCAGTGATAAGTGTGCCTAGTGAGTTCACCCATAACATCGCGGAACCTGATGCGAGATTCACTTCATGTCTCCTGAGAGCACTCAAGTCCTCGCCCTCAAGCTTCGGTCTAAGGCACGCGCTTGCACCGGAATCGATCAGGCCATACTTGCAACTAAGGCCCGGGCCATCCGGCACGCCCAGATGGGCTGCGTCAGATGGCTCAAAACTCGCGCGGTCGTTTTGGAACAATTCTGGCACCAACTCAGCGCCGACATTGAGCGCTTTAAGCTGCAGGGACCGCAGCAAGTTCGTGGCCTCTTGCATCATGTGGGCGCTTGATGCTCCCAACTGCCCCTCCCCCGAACCTGCACTAGCAGCCTGGGCGCACTCCGCGGCGCTTGCAGCCTCAGCCTTCTTAGCGCTCTTGGTTCCCCCCTTACCCTTGGCTTTGGGCAGGGTATCCTCAACCTTAGCAGCTTCAGGGTTTTTGCGGGGACATGCATCTTTCATGTGACCAGTGGCACTGCATAGAAAACACCTGCCAGTTCCCTTACCTATGGGGGCATGCGTAAAATGACATTTATCGGCATAGTGACATCCAGCTTCAGTCATCCAGTGCTTGCATGCTGGCTTTGGATTGCCCTTTCCACCCTTACCACCACCCTTCGCCTCAGCACCCTTCCCCTTGGACTCCCCACCACCCGGCGTCTCAACCCGAGCAACCTTATGTTTCTCGGGGTCCTCACTCAATGCTGCAGCCTCGCACTCGGCCAACAAAAGCTCAGCGTACTTACTGACAGCATCCTGGTTGGGAACTTGGTCAAGCAAGTGGTTCGTCCTAAAGGTTTGAAGGCGAAACAACGAAGAGGTGGACAAATTCGGAGGATGAAGACTGTCTAGACCTTTCACCTGCAACGACGGGTCTGGGAGATTCAGGCCAACCTCAGTCGATCTGACAATCCAACGACGCCATTTCCTGATAGCCTTGACTGCGGCATGCGCAGTTGCACTGCTTCCTGGGTGTGTAATGTAGTTAAGCAGTTGTTCACGCTCTGCACTTCCCCCAGGTTGGTACTTACACATGGTCTTGTACACGATTGCAGCGGTCGAAAACAATCTAGACGTAACTATGTCCTCACGCAAATCTGCACCAACACACTTCAGCAACATGGGCACTGCTTTCTGCTCTACCCTACTGAATCTACCGGTTTGGTGAAGTTCAACGAGGGCTTCGGGGTAAATACTAAGTCGGTCGAGAGGTGATGCGAGTAGCCAACGTGTGTACAACTGTTTCGCCTCACGCAACACATCTCCCCACCACTCACGCGCTCCCTGACTCAACGACGACATGGTGGGACCCAACGTTGCCAGCCAATCACCTGCAGTAATACTGGAGTTAGTAGGATCATACTTGTCAAGTTGAGGAAGCTCAGGCACGTACTTGATGGGTTCTTCAGGTTGCATTTCGGCTTGAGCTCTAAGGCCTGGAGGTGGGGGTGGCCTAATTTCAGTACCTCCTGGGCTCACTGGGTACTTCAACCCACTGCTGACACCTACGGCCTTTCGAGCAGGGCTACTTCTACCTCTGTCCTGACCGGGCTGCTTTCTTAAGAATTCGGGAATGGGTGGAGGCTCACCGGGACGCAAGGCATCTTGATACAGCTGAACATAGTTCTCATACCCAAAGCTACCCATGTCAAGAGGTCCTGACAAGCTTGCAGCAGCTCCTCCAGATTGACGAGCTCTTTGAGGGCTTTCACTACGAGTCCTAGGCTCTCGTCCTCGCTTTGGGGTTTTATCGGGGGTGACGGGTACGAAGGGTGACCTAGCCCTTGGGTTCAAGACCTCAGCTACGGACACGGCTCTTGCCGGTCGTGTTGGGGCCTGTTTCTCAAGCTTCAATCCTTCGGGCGTGACTCGCCAGGCGTACTTTGACCCTTCAACTTCAACCACACCCGCACTCGGAGCCTGGGCCTGGGCCTCAGTTGGTGGTCCCATTTGACCCCCTCTCCCATCCGACCCCGTCCCAGTTTCCCCAAGGTTAGCCGGCTTGCCTGTCACAGCTGGTGTGCCAACGAACTGAGGAGGAAACACAGCCTTCGGACGTGGCTCAGGGACACTAGAGCTTGCACCCGCAGACGATGACGATGCTTTGGAGCTCTCCAGCTTATCCATTCGCTCCACCAAAGACTGTTGGCCTTGCATCAGTACCCGTAGCATTGACGCCAGATCGCCAAAGGGATCTGTAGCCACTGGCTGTACTGGAACCAGTTCGCGATCATCTTCCGCTTTGATAGCTCCACGTTCCATGGCCGAAAACTCGCTGTAACCTGTAACGCTAAAATGTCCAGGCGATGCTTCTCTGGCAACTTGTGCCTCCGGTTCCTGTGGCTGTGTCGCCAGCGCAACAGGGTCAATACGAAGTACTTCTGCATGACACGGAGCTAGTTCATGAGGCACATCATTCCTGGCTGTGCTTGCTGCGGCCTCAGGAGTTTCCTGGGCTTGAGGTCCAAGCTCATATGGCGGTTCACGTTCTGACTCATCGCCTTCCCTAATGGCTGCACCTCGTTCCCCAGGGTCGTCCTGCACGACCTGTTGTGCACGGCGAAATTCCTGCTGTACTGCATCTGACCAGAAAGGGTTCGGGAAGTTTGCCATGGCAAGGTCTACTTTCTACAGGGCCCTTTTACTTAGCGTTGGGCTCATAACCCTCGCGTGGGCAGGAAGCTCCACAGCGGGGTTACGCAGGGCTCTTTTTGTCACCAGGCAGCAACAACACAACAAAAGACCAGAAAAGACATGTTCTGATAGGAGTCTGTGTCCTATGACTTCTGCCTAAATGCTGTACACTATACATATGGGCTTCTTTTCGAAAAGGACAGCGTGCTGGTGACAAGGGCTCCTATTCCGTAGACCTGAGCCAATGCCACAGATAAGCCAAGTCTCATTGATTCTAACTGGCTGCTCACTCACTCGCGAGGGTTTAGCGTTTAGGGTTTAAGGGCTTAGGGTTTGGAGTTTGGGGTTTAGGGTTTAAGGCTTAGGGTTTGTGTACGACTTTCACACTTGTTGCAAGGTAGAGTAGAGTAGCCACGAAACCCGTCAGCCAGTAAAGTGCACCGGTTGGAATATAGGCAGCTCGGCCCGAAATCCCAAACCATATGTCGGTTTAGGGTTTAGGGTTTAGGGTTTAGGTTTTAGGTTTTAGGGTTTAGGGTTTCTGCACCCACCAAAAGCCGTAGCAACTCCCTGGCGGTTGCATGAGGATGATATATTAGGGCATCCTTACAGAGTTTCTCCTTGTGAAGGGGACCCCCAAACCCTAAAAACTGTACCCTAAACCCAAATTCTAAACCCTAAACCCTAAACCCTAAACCCTAAACTGTGCGTAACTCGGCGTCACGCTGCCTCTCTTGCTTGGGGCTTGCCCTGAGGCGTCCAGTGGATGGTGAAAGTCACCTGGCAACAGCTTGGGTTGATGGCCCCACTTGCCACGGTTCAGGGTTTAGGGTTTAGCGCACACCCTGTGAAAGGGGGGGGGGGGGGGAATTGTAGATTTGGAGTTTAGGATTTAGGGTTACGATTCTCAGTGGCCCCACAAATAACCCGAACCCTAACCCCCTAACCCTCAACCCTTCTTAACTTAGGGCTTAGGGAGTTTTCGGCATAGGGCTCGAAACGGTTTAGGGTTCATGTCAGGGGCCCTAAACCCTAAATCCTAAATCCTAAACCCTAAACCCTAGACCCTAATAGGTGACCCTAAAAATCTAAAAACCGTAGGACTAAAGCACTTGGACCTTACAGTGCTTCCTTTCGTGTCTAGGGTTCCAAGTATGGGCCCTTAATTTGGGTCCGTTGTTATATAGCCCTTAAATATGTATCATATTATACACTATATCTATATGTACAATATATATATATATACGCATACCAAATAATATGTATACATAGATGTATATATATATATACAATATATATATATATGTATATGTATAATTATGTCTGATAAGGGCACATACTTCGGATCCTTATCAAACAGGGTAAGGGACCATACTGAGGGCCCATGGTTCCAACCTTAGAGAAAAGGACTTTGGGGCCCAAGTAGCGCAAAACTTAGGGTCTACCCCAAGAGGCATCAAAATCTGTGTCCTTAGACTCCCTGGAGAAAACTTGTGGTGTAGGGCTTTGTTTAGGGCTTAGAGTTTAGGATTTCGGATCCAATGTCCATGTTTTTGCCTTAGTGTCCAAGCGAAAAATCTAACAGAAGCAGGACGCATACCAAGAGGGCAGGCTCCCCAAAAACGACACATCCCAACCACAGGTACGAAAATCATCCCGCAACGAAATACTTAGCCAACCCGAAACCATAAAGACTCAAAACCCTCAACCCCTCGTCAAGCCTCAACCCGAAACCCTCAACCCTAGCATCCCCCTCTGCGTGAAGGCCTGCTGCCCGACCGCCACAGGCTCTAACTCAGGCTTGAAGTAGATGTCCTAAGCGCTGAATACTTGGAGGTTCATGGGCACTTAGAACCCAATTATAACTGTACTTACAAACCCCCGAAGTCCGCGAAGTAGGTTATAAGTAGACTCATAAGTGGGGTTAAAAGTATCCATGAACCTCCAAGTAGAACTTCTGCAGGGACTGGATCTCAATAACATGTTGAAAGAACATCTTCGACGAAACGGTTTCAAAAGTGCTGAACGAAAGCTTCTGTTTAGAGCTGATCCTGTGCCAAGAACGGCATGGCATGCGGCTAAAACCGAAACCCTAAGCCACAACACCCTAAGCCACAACACCCCAAACCCTAAACCCTAAACCCCAAACCCTAAACCCTAAATCCTGAACCCCAAACCCTAAACGCTAAACCCTAAACCCTAAGCCGCAGTGTCTGTATGTCTGGAGACTGGGCCCCGCTGCCCTACTTGGCGGCCCGGTGGGTAGATCTCTCTTCTAGAAAGCCCAAGAACACGCGGGGTTTAGGGTTTAGGGTTTAGGGTTTAGGGTTTCGGGTTTAGGGGAAGAATCCTTTACAAAAGGTCGGGAACCATATTCAGGGATCATGTCACTCGTCTTAGAACAGCCCATGAACCAAGCCTAATGCACAAAACCCTCAACTTCCGAACCACTGAGGCCCTAAACTCCTAAACTCCTACGCCCCGAAATTCTAAACACAAATGACCCCAATCCCTAACTTTCTTGAAGCCGAGGCTGGGGTACCCCCACGTACAAAATATCCCTCGCTAGGGCTGTTCTGTAGAGGTTGCTCTAAACCCCAGGCCCTGAAAGCCTAAACCCTGATACCCTAAACGTCAGCTTGGGGTTGAAGGCTGAGGGGATACGAGCGACTCCAAAACCCTAAACCCTAAACCCCAAACCCTAAACCAAACCCAAAAATCCTAGACCCTGAACACTGACACCCTGAAGGTGGGTCAGAATATGCGCCCTAAACCCAAACCCTAACCCTAATGCCCCCACTTGTTGGTTAGGGTTTATGGTTTCGGGTTTAGGGTTTCTATGGCTCAGGGCTTATAAGGGGTTAAGGGTTTAGGGTTTGTCGTTGAGGGTTTAGGGGGTTCTGGGGTTAGGCGTGAAGGGCGGTTGATGGCGCGCCTGCGTGCGGCCAAGGGGCAACAGGAAAGTTGGGTGCGGAGATGAAGCCATAACCCTCGGATGGGTCATTAGTGTACCAAAAATGAATTCACATCTAACAAACATGCTACCTTGTTTTTAGACCAAGGCCCACTTGATAAATTCTAAAAAACAATCCATGTTAGCTTGTTTCGCTTTCAGGGTTCAGGGTTTAGGGTTTAGGGTTTAGGGGATTTAGAGGTTTTGCTGGGTTGATCGGGCTTAGGGCTTGTGTAGAAGGCTCTTGAGGGATCTTCGGGTTTCTAGGGCTAAACTCATAAACCCTAAGCTAAAAACCCTAAACCCTAAACCCTAAACCCTAAACCCTAAACCCTAAACCCTAAACCCTAAACCCTAAACCCTAAACCCTAAACCGAAAGCCTGTCTGGCTTGCTTAAGCATCATGCCCTGAAGGGCCGAAGTGGGCCCCGATGGCTTTCAGGGTGTTCAAGCTTAAGAGCCTTCAGGTTGAAAAGATCAAAGTTTCAGCCCTTCAGCCCTAAACCCTAAACCCTAAACCCTAAACCCTAAACCCTAAACCCTAAACCCTAAACCTTTAACCCTAAACCTAAAAGTGTCAGCGTCGGCTTGAGGGGCTTCGGGATGAAGAGTGTCGGGCTTGCGTGTGGAGAACCCGGTTGCTGGGCTTTGCTTGCGGTTGAGGGTTGACGGTTTAGCGTTTAGGGTTTCGGGTTTAGGGTTTCGGGTTCAGGATTTATGGTTTAGGGTACTTCTGCCGGTTTCGGCTGCTTGCTCGGGCACTTGGGTTGATTGAGGGCTGACGAGTCTTTGAGAGTTTAGGATCCTAGTGTTCAGGGTTTAGGCTTTAGGTTTTAGGGTTTAGGGCTCGGCGTTGCCACTCCTGCAGCTGCAGGACGGTGGTTTTTAGGATACAGGGCCGAAGAACAAGAACACATCCATCTTCCCCCCGGTTTAGGGTTTAGGGTTTAGGGTTTAGGGTTTAGGGTTTAGGGTTTAGGGTTTAGGGTTTAGGGTTTAGGGTTTAGGGTTGACACACAGCTTCAGCAACCTCAGCATGCAACTGGGATCCCCTGCAACCCAGGAAAAAAGAAAGGGCTCCCTTTGTGGATTTGGGTCGATTTTCTGAGGGCTGCAAGAACTTCAAAAAAAGGGAAAAGGGCCCAATGAGATCTAGAACATGACATCTAAACTCTGAATGGTGTGCGGGGACTGTTCGTGACTGCACTAGCCAACAGTCAACACATTCAGAGAAAGCTTTCCTGCACATACACATGCAATCAAAGGACATTCCATCTCAGTAAAGTGCCACTAACTCACCAACTGAACGCACAGCGCAAGAGAAAGCAAAAAGAACACAAATGCCTTCGCCGGGTCAAAAGTCTTCACCGAGCCAACCATGGAAGTCCCCTCAGGGACAATATGGCCTTGTCACCAGGAACATGAGAACATCTGAAAGTCACACAAATCTCTGGAGAACCCGACACACATGCTACAGACGATCTCACAGCCAAACATGAGATGCACATGTAGAGACCAAGCGTTGGTGCAGCGCATGAACCTTCGGAACGAGACACAAAGCAAAGCGCTTGCACACTAGCTGTTCCCCCTTGTAGCAGCAGATGCCACAGTTGGTACTTGTAGTCACAGAGCCCCCTGAATATCTACCTGTGCAGAAGCTGCTGCTATAAGGGGGAGCATCCCACCTTGTACACCTGGCAGGAGAATGTTTCCCATGCACAATGCCCACACATGCGCAGATATATGGCATCACAGATGTGTGGTCTACTTCAAAGGCAAACTCCTGGGGCAAAGAGACAGTAACAATGTCATTCTCAGCGGGAAAAGCTGCAGTGCAACTTCAAGTCCACCCTTCGACGACACTCCGGGAACGTTTAATTGGAGTTGGCCTTTAGACCCTTTAACACATGTCTATATACAAGGCCCCTCATAAACCAAAACAAGGAAAATATGAAATATTCCAAAAGCCAACCCAGTTCCCTAGTTAAACATGTCTGTACCTGTCTTGCCCGGCCATGGGAGTGCGAGGGCTATCGGGTGATCTGACCCGATGCAACAACCAGAAACCCCTTCGCCGAGACGTGAAGCCTGTGTAAACCCTATGTCCCTATGTCCTAAAACGATCAGCGACTGGTTTAGAAAGCCGAGACTGCATGACCCTCTGCACGAGGTGGTCTGAAGCAAAGGAAAGGGCTTAAAGTACAAGGATTGCGGGGTTGCCACTGGCCTCAGGTGTTGATAGTTGTTGTTGCAGCTTCCAAACGACCACAAACAAAACCCTCCTCAAAAGGGTGCACCCTAGACCGTAAACCCCACACCCTAAACCCCAAACCCCGATGATTAAGCCCCAAAACAAACCTAAAAACTAAACCCCAAACCCTAAACCCTAAACCCCAAACCCCAAACCCCAAACCCTAGCAACGCCAGTAGAAGTTGCCATTCATCGAAACGTCCAAGCGGGTGGCGCTGACCCTTGATCTGGGCCCAGAGCCCTTCGTTAAGGAATGTACCTTACACCGCATATAAACATAAATACAAAACAGCCAATCCTAAATACTTAGATATATATATATGTACACATAAATAAATAAATAAATAAATATGTATATGCAACACATCTATATATATATATATGTGTAGAATTCTTGTGCTAACATTGACGAGGTTGTTGCAGAGCACTTTGCTCTCTGGAACAAAAAACTCCGTTTCCTGCAGTCTGACTGCCACATGCGGCAGCAAAAAGCATGCGACCCTACTCCTAAACCCCTAAATCCCCCTATAAACACAGAAACAAGGAACTGTACTTGACTTCTGTACTTCTCTTATCTTATATATGTATACAGTTGTGTGTTGAATTTCGCCGCATGGCCTCAGTGCATAACGTACAAAGGAATCCCGGGGGTGTAAGACCACAACATGGAGGGGGGGGATAAGCCGATATGGGGGTTCACGAGAACAGGGGACTCCCAATTTTGATCTCCAAATTGTAGGCTCCCCTAATAATGAGGACCCCTATAAGGTACTCCTAATTTCAAAACCCTAAACCCTAGACCCTAAACCCTAAACCCCATAAAAGGTAATGATCCCAAGGTCCTTCTGGGAAATTGTTTGGGGCTCCTAGTGTTTATAAGGGTTTAGGGTTTAAGGTTTAGGGTTTTGTGAAACTTTAGGAACAGGTCTGCTGATGTCCCATATACCTTGCGCGCGTTTCTGTCACGTGGGGTAAACGCAAACGCTTTTTGCGGCCGAACGGGCTCGTGGCCTTAAACACCGCATGCTTATCACTCCCCAATCTTTTGAAAACCCTAAACCCGCAGCCCTAAACGGCCCTAAACCCTAAACCCTGAACTTTCAAACCCACACCCTGGGTACGCCACCCATGGCTGCAGGAGGAGCCATGGTGGGTGCCTTTGTGCGCACGCAGAGCTTCTGGGGGTCTTTACGCGTTTAGTGATTCGGGTTTAGGGTTCGGGTTTCGGGTTTCGGGTTTCGGGTTTAGGGTTTAGGGCTTAGGGTTGGGATGTTCCCCCTTCTACTAACAGCCCTTAACAGGAATCATAATAGGGGGGTACTGGAATCCCTATCCCTGGTTGCCGACGGAGCTTGTCAAGTGTAGTTCTGTAGTTACGTACAACCGACTCCTAGATTCTGAGGGCGGCGCGAAAAGGCAAACCTAAGAGGAGCATGGGGTTTAGGTTTAGGGTTTAGGGTTTAGGGTTTAGGGTTTAGGGTTTAGGGTTTAGGGTTTAGGATTTAGGGTTTAGGGTTTAGGGTTGAACCCCAAGTGGACTTTGCCAAGGCTGCGGGTGTGGAGTATTAAAGACTGTTGTTTTTCAGGGGGAACATCCGAAGGTTTAGGGTTCAGGGCTTGCCCAGGGTCTCTTGAAGAGCTTGGCTAGAGGGCTTGGGGTTTCGTTGTTCCCCACCCTCAGTTGTTAGATTTTAAACTCAACTCTTCTCCTCGCCTCTTTTCTCCTCGTCCGGTCTACTCCGTGTCCCTGAGTGCCCAAACTCAGAGTCTCCCTGGAGTGCCCAACCCCAGAATTTCACCAGAGTGCCCAGCCCCAGAGTGTCCCAGAGTGCCCAGCCCCAGAGTGTCCCTGGAGTGCCGAACCCCAGAGTATCTCTGCCAAGAGAGGGTGGGGATGTTCGAAGTAAAATAACTTTTTAAAGAGACTTGGCTTCAAAACACCCAAAACCCTAACTGCAGCTCTTGTTCGGGATTATCTAACGTGTATAAGGCTTCTCTAGAGCCCGAGGAACCCAGAGACTCCAAAACCCCTTAATTAAGGAATATCCCTTAATTCAAAATGGGAACCCTCATATGATTTAAGGTGTATTCCTTAATTGCGGGGTCTTGGAGTCTCTGAGAAATTCTCTAAATATACGGGCATAGGCTCTGGCGAAGAGGGAAGCCGTGTACTTATTGTTCTTCCTTCCTTAGAAGGCCGGAAGCCTTACATGCTAAACGGGTTTAGGGTTTCGGGTTTAGGGTTTAGGGATGTGCATTCAAGTGTTTCGGGCTAAATTTGGCTTAACGTCCGCGGCCCAAAACCCTTCACTCGCCAAATCTTTGCCCCTCCCCCCACCCCCATGTTCGGACCCTGCACTGCACGACCATCGGGTGAGTTCTATCGGAACCTTCGCTGCTCTAAACCCTTTGCCCTAAACCCCTAGATTCTGGGCTTCGTGTTTCGGGTTCAGAGTACCCTGGGCGAGCCTCTTGTTATTGCCGGCCCCTGCACATGCAGACTTAAGGGCGTCACAGCCGGCGCTCGCGAAACCTGACCCGGCTTCTCTCGGAGGGTTGCAGGCTCGAGAGCTTAGGGTATGTCAGGGTACACTAAACATTAAACCGAATTAAACCCTAAACCCTAAGCCCTAAGCCCTAAGCCCTAAGCCCTAAACCCTAAACGTACAAGGAGAGAGAAGGGTTTGAGTGTGCTTAAGGTCTTCAAAGGGCTGAGGAGTGGGGACTTCAGGCTGAACAAACTTTCAGGCCGAAGAGCTTCAGGATGAAAGTACTATCGGGGCCTTCATAAGAAGAATAGGGTTTTTTGGGGGGGGGGGGGGGGTTCTTGTAGTATAAATACAAAGAGACGATGCTTAGTAGTTATTCCGACCCCGAGGTATGTTTGGGATTGAAGGGTTTAGGGTTTTCAAGGGCTACAGGGCAGAAGTGATCGAGGACTTCCGGCTTAAGGGTGGAAGACTGCCGGGCTGTAGGGTCGGTAAGTGTTTGGGGGGCACCGGGCACAGGGCCTCCAGGGGTCCAAGCCAAACACCCTAAACCCTAAACCCTAAACCCGAAACCCTAAACCCTGAACCCTGAACCCTGAACCCTGCACCCTCAATCCTGCGGGAGCCTCTCAGAGTGAACAAGAGGGCTTTTGGGTCTTTTGGGTTGAGATTCAGGGTGCGCAACCCTAAACCCTAAACCCTAAACCTTAAACCCTGAACCCTAACACCCTAAACCCCAAATGGGATTGCCGAAATCAGGGGTACCAAAAAACCCTACTATTTGGGGGTCTGTCACAGGGGTCTTTTACTTTCGTAAGCTCCCAAACGAGTTCTAGGAGGCCTAAGTAGGCAGGCCAGCCTGCACAGGGGGCGCGACCACCTTGCAAAGGGTTATCTTGGCTTTAGGGTTGAGGTTGCGCCCTTCCGCACCCCGAAACACTACCCTATCACATAGGGGTTTAGGATTTAGGGTTTAGGGTTTAGGGCTTAGGGTTCATGGGGGTCTTATAGCGTGAACCTGCAAACACGAACAGAATCTGGCTCTGAAACCTTTTGCCTTAAGACCTATCAGTCATACAGTAAAGCCTTGTCTCCCCAGGAGCTACTTGGAGGTTCATGGTACTTAGTAGCCCATTTACATCTGTACGTATAACCCAACTATAACCCTCTTTAGGGTAATATAGGGGCCTTGAAACTTAGAAGAGGGTCTTGGGGGTTCCTGTAGCATATTTATATAGGGACCATAAGGGAATAATATTACGTTTTTTTTCAGACACCTTTCGTACTTAAGCAGCTTGTAGGTGGGACATAACAACACTTGTAAGTGGTTCTAAGTACTCCGAACCTCCAACTATTCCCCGGATCCCTAAGGCGCTTTACTTAAGGATTGGTGGGACTGAGCCCCTAAAGCCCAAAAAGCCCAAAAACCCTAAACCCTAAGCCCTAAACCCTAAACCCTAAGCCCTAACCCAGGCCCCGAACTCTGGATCCTGAAGCCTCATAATAACCCTGACGACCTAAAACCCGAAAGCCCCCCCCCCCCACCCCCCTCCCCGCCCGCAACATTGGGGCATAACCCCCCCCCCCCCCCCCCTCACCCCGAAACCCTAAACCCAAAACAAACCAGAGAAAAAAAACGA